GGGCCACGTGAGGGAGGGGAGCCACCTGGCAGTCCTTGTGTGCCCCAAAGATCTTACACAGAGAGCAGGTGGGCACCTCGCAGTTTAGACAGTAGATGTTGATGCGCTCTTCTTCATGCTCCTCACACCTGGGCTGGTCAGACTTCTTTTCTGGTCTGGGAGGAGGTAGCAGATAAATATGTCAGCTCCCAATGGGGTAGAGCCGAGATGGGTGATCAGCATTGCAAATCCCAGCTAGCCCCTGTACTCAACAGCAGCCCATTCCAGAGGGCTCCCAGAGCCCTCCAAATTCAGTTTCCTTACAGTGATGTGCCTGGGGTGGTGGAGACTCTGATCTATAGCATTTGCCAACTTCCGTGGTATTGAGTATTCCCAGCATGGCAAATTTTCAAGTTATAGGGTGTGTGTGTGTGTGTGTGTGTGTGTGTGTGTGTAAGAGATCAACCAACGGACTTGTATGCACGCATATAACCATACCAATGGACACAGACAGCAGGGGGTGAGGGCATGTGCTGGAGGGTGGGGGTGATCGGGGAGAGGTCAATGGCAAACCTATGAATTTCTAGAAAATTATGACCTATATATTTCAGATGAACACTAATGACCTTCTAGAAACCCTACATTCAACACTGCAATAGGAGTGGAGGAGTCTTTTAAAAGTTATTTCTAGAGAAGACTCCAAAAATTCTATTTACTCACAGTTCAGTATTATGGACATTAAAAAAAGGTCTCCAACTGAAGTGATTCCAGGGACAAAAAATATATATAAATTATGTAAAAGAGAACATAGCATTACCAAAAAGTATTAATAAAATCATACCTCTTGAGTGCACCATTAGGAAATATCTTGAATGGTAAGACCACATAACAGTGAGGGCCATGACTAAAACATGAGGGTCCCTTTATTACTAAGCGACATACAAGTTATAATAACAGATGGTGTTCTTGATTTTATTTCTCATTAAATAGTCACCAATCAACCCTAGCTGGTTTGGTTCAGTGGACAGAGTGTTGGGCCACAGACTGAAGGATCCCAGGTTTAATTCCCATTGAGGGCACATGCCCAGTCTCTGAAATCACTAAAAACATATTTTTAAAAAAATTACACCAAGTTGTAGTGCTTTAGGCTCCCTCTGGTGAGTATGGTGGGAGGTGTGGATGTAGCCAACTCACACAAAAATCTGGCATTTTTGTATATCTTATCTAAAGACTAAGGCTGTTGATAGGTATTTGAAAAATTTAAATACAAACCCAAAACCTTGCCGAACATATGGTTATTTAGAAGCATGTCAGATTTGGAACTGAATATTTTTTAGCTGTTATCAAGATCTACTTTTTAAAAACTGCAGGGTTTGATGGGCCATGATATCAATATAGGGGGTTATGACCAGCATTGTTAAAATAAAACAGAACATCTGGGTTCATTTCATTCTGTATATCCCAGGTTATTCCAGAGTCACCGAATATATCCTAAGAATTCAGGATTCTGAGCTGATAAGGCTTCCAGCTTCTAGGGAACAACTGGGTTTCTGCCCAAATATCTGTCTGAGCCCTTTGTGCAACCTGTGGTTTTGTTACCAAATAAAAATGTCCCAATGGCAAGTCTCAAGTTTAAGAAACAACAGCATAAAAAGAATTCAATAATCACAGAAATACCCTTAGTACACTCAGCTATGAGTTTCATTGCTGGACATTTAGTTCATTGCTTTTATACAATTTGCTCACCTGGACACTATTTTTGACACATGTACCACACAGACTTTATAGTTAACTAATGTGTCTTGTAGTTTTACTAATGCTACAAGTTTTAACATCTCCTCTTCTCTGGACTTCACAACAACTATTGTTATTTCACATGTTTCAAGGTCTTGCTGTGGCAAGTAGAAAAATGGAAAATTATTGCAATAACTAGAACATGTAGGAAGGTACTGTAGTCGGCATGGAATCAGTTATTATATAAACTTCCTTAATAACTGGTTGATAACTCATTGGCTGGTTAACTTTTTTAAAGAGATAGTGTGTGTATTTGCATTTTAAATTAATGAAATACAATGAAATCCAAGCAACAGCAACAATAGGACTTTCCTTCTTCTCAAGAGACTTTTGACTCAAGGGAAATAGTCGACTATGTATCTCTGAAATATGTCATCAGCAATTATTCTTCTTCCCCAGTTCCATCTATATCCTGGTGCTATCGAATTTAGTTTTGAATCATAAGCAGAAACTAATAGCTATAGTGATTATACTAATTATATGTTAGATTTATAAAGCAGCTTTCCTTCTAAGAGTGCAAGGCTCTCAGAAGCATGCAGATGTTCCATAAATACATGCCTTCTAATTAGAATCACAATGAGGTCATTTCTAAATGGTCTTAATATTGCTATCAAGCTTTGTGGACCCGCCTGACCTGCATACAATTGAAGGAGGCCTCTTGATACCATGCCTTCTAGGAATGAATTCTCACAGTGTTGTCTTTAGGAAAAGAACTCTATAGCCAATGTGATTTGATGAAGAAGAAGCCTCCTCCTCTTTAAATGATCAGATGTATATACTGCATATCCATCAATCAATAGGTAAATGTTAATAGTATGCAGTAAATACAATCTAGAGATAGGGGAACATAACCTGAACTCCATCTTTATTTTTCTCCCATGTCTCTACACGTTAAGTTGCGTAAGGCCAGGACTATTATCTTGCCTTGCAATTTCCAGAGTCAATTTCATGACATGTTAGAGAATTTTGTTTTTATTATCATCTAGATAATTTTAAGATGAGACTGTCTGAACTAGGAATTGACTATTGGAAAGGTGCCATTTCTGTAATTTCCTATAAAGTTTTATGCTATAAATTTTTGGCTATGTTGAATCTGGAGCTACAAAGATCCTGTGAAGTACAGAAATGTCCACACTGAATGTAATACAAAGCTTTGGGTGGAGTAGCATTATGCCTCTTTCAATGTCACTGTTTGGAGTGGATTGGTGTTGAATTACTTCATTCTTAAATTGATACAAAAGCATGGTCACTATCTTTCTTCTCTCTTCCCATGAGCAACTCTCAATCCCACTGGAAAAGACTGACTTGGAAAAACATTTTGCTATGAAGCAATTAGCCTGTGATTGCTAAACAAGCATTCAGTATAGTGACTCACTAAAACAATCAACCAAATAAATAAAAACAAGCTTCCAATGGGTTTAATACATGGAAGAACTATACCTGGTGGACTCCTGCTTGTAGATGTCAATGATATTTTCCACCAGCAGGTTCCTCTGAAGTCCATATATCCCATGTCTGTCCAAAACCACTTCATGCCTACAGGATGGGCAGCGGAATCGGCCTCCTGATGCCACCGTGGTGCCTCCTCTTGTGGGCAAGTACGGGTTAGAGGCCTGTTCTTGCCAAGCAAGAAAAGAGGAATTGAGTAATGCCATGGGTAGCTTTTCTGAGAGGCCTCTTCATTCTCCGTTACTACAAACATCAACTTCTACTTTAAGCTTGCCGTAAGATAATCCCTTAGGGCCTTATCGGCAAGTAGGCCTAAAAGACAGGCCCAGCTCCCATCCACAGTCAACTGCAATGTATCATTTTCACTGTGAGTTATTTTCCATCCAGTGTTTTCATAACCAAAAGCTCCCAGCCAGAAACTCCAACATTAATGTACTGGATAGTAATTCATTTACAAATTTGAAACAGATCCCATTTAAAACACACACACACACACACACACACACACACACACAAATTTCATTCGTAGCATTGAAATAAGAGGAGGCTAACAGCAAAGCACAAAGCAAATCATTAAATTTTTTTTTTTGAAAATGAATGCAGCCTTTTAAAGTTTTCTAAAGGAATTCACCTCAACGTTAAGCACTTGATTCCAAGGAATCTATCCACTCCGACATTCCAAACAAACCTACCTGGAAGATATCACTGGCACATTTCCTACACAAGTTATGCTGACAGGGAAGAATGACCACAGGCTTCGTGAACATCTCCAAGCAGATGGGACAGATGAGTTGCTTCTCCAAGTTGTCCATGGTCTGCTGCTCTTTGGAAAAAGACTTATAATTCAAAGATGCGCTCATCTCCTAGCCGTCACGGTGTGCACCGCCAGGGAAGGGGTGCTCCGAATGGTCTCTACAAGGGTTTCCTGGAAATAATTCCAAGGATTGTGTGATCAAGTGTCCTTCATGTTTCTTTTGGTGGAGGACATTGTTTCAGGCCCAGGTTTGGAGTGGGAGCTGGGGCTGTTTTTAGCAGCTGGGGTCACGTGACAGAAGGCTGACTTGTCCATATAAGCCAGTGACAGGAGGACAGATTCTGACAGGTGACAGAGAACAGGAGCCAACATTCCTACCCCAGGGAGTGAAAAGAGTGAGTGGGAAGGAGGATTACACACTCCATTTAGACGGGGTTGTGAGGAGAAGGAGGTTGAAGCAGACAGTTGTCAACAACAAATGCGAATGAGTATGCCGAGGACTCACAGAGCCCTGCCCTCTGTGAGTCTTTGGTAAGGACATGGTGACGGGTTTCTCCAGGACCGGGAAAAATGCAGCCCAGGCAAGAGTATAACTGTATAATGAATGCCATTTCTGTCTTGAGAATTTAGAAAGTGAGTTATCCAAGTAGCATGATCATATCATCTCAGGTGAAAATATACCTTGAAAATCATTATCCCAGCTTCACAGGGTCAATCATTGAAAATACTTGCTCAGTGTTAAATATTACATCTTCACAAGGGTTGTGGTATGGAAAACATTCTAACTTAAAAACTGATTTCAAATCTTTTCACTATAAAAGTGTCTCCAAAGTAAAAAAAATCAAATAACAGTGGATGTTTCCATTATTTTTAAAAGCTGTGTAATAAAACTCCAGTGTGTTCTTTTCTGTTTTACATTGCTTTTCCTCTTCCTTAACCTTTTGTCATCCTGTACCCTCACTCTCACCCCTATACACACCCCAAAATACAAAGAAAATGGAATAATCTTTAAAAGGTTAAAACAGTTTGCAATGACTGTCAGTAATGAGGTAGTAACTGGCACCTGGGGTAGACCCATTATCTCATTTTGATATATGACGGGTGACAGATATCAGTGCCATTGCCAACTGAAGGGAAAATGAAGTCCTGCTTCCATACCTGTTTCTTATCTGGTCTGAAATACCTACACTGCATTTGCTTTGTCCTCCAAGTTGATTTTTTAAATGCTAGTTTCCTGGTGGTTTCTGATATTCTTGGTCTGTTCTGTTATTTGCCAAGATTTTGTGAAACAACTGTTTCATTAATATATATTTCATTAAAAATTTTAAATTATATTAAAAATGAAAAAGAAATACATGTCTATTTTTTATGTGATGAATTTGTAGCTTCATTCCTCTTTGATTTTAAAAACCTCAAATAATGAAGGTACTTTGTTAACATATCCCTGATGTGCACTTAATTACTGGTAGAGACTATGTAGGTGTGACTGGTTAAGTGTGGTCTTAATACTGTGTTTACTGAGAGTTTATTGAGAATCTAAAAAGCTCCATTAACTAATAATAAGTTATATATATTCATAAACATATCAGGGATCTTTAGAGAATTTTGTTACTCTTTTCAATATCTATTTAGCAACTATAGTGAAGAAGGGAATTGGTAGAATCTTTTTACTGTTTTAATTCAGTTCAGTCAGCCTGGGCAGTTAATTGTGTTTATTATTGTGTGAGCTATGAAGGTCTGAGCACAATAAAAGAAAGTTTCTACTCTAAAAGCCCTTACAACCTAAAAAAAAAAAAAAGCACTTAGCCCAGCTGGTGTGGCTTAGTGGTTGAACATCGATTTATGAACCAGGAGGTCATGGTTTGATTCCTGGTCAGGGCACATGCCCAGGTTGTGGGCTCGATCCCCAGTGAGGGGAGAGGTAGGGTTATAGGAGGCAGCCAATCAATGATTCTCTCTCATCATGGATGTTTCTATCTCTCCCTCTCCCTTCTTCTCTGAAATCAATAAAAATATATTTTAAAAATAATAATAAAGAAAAGCACTTAAACTAATAATATACTATAGTATAGCAGAGTCTATCCTTATAAGAGGAATTCATTCTTTCAAAAAAACATTCATTGAGTGTTTATCATGTGATTCCATTGTGCTGGGCTCTGGGGATTGAAAGACGAAGTAGACACAGGTCATTGTCCTCAAGGAGCTCAGTCTAACAGTAGAGATGAGGCATGCATATGCAGAACCACAGTATAAGACAACATGTTATAAAGAGCTACAGAATTTCAGAGCTGGAGGAGTTAGGAAGACTTCATGGGTTGGGTAGCATTTGAATTGATCCACTGAGGAATTTAGGTGGGTCATAGGTGGGGCTTCCTAAGAGAAGGCACAGAAGCAATGACTGTGAGCACAGGAGAGCTGGGAATGCCCAGAGTTGTATGGTGCTTTGGGCTGGACTGCAGAACATAGTGCTGGCTCATTGGCAGGCCAGGCACACCAGGCTAAAGAGTTTTCAACACTTAATAAATTAGACAACAGGAAGTGTTAAAAGTTTCTCAGAGGGATGTTTCCATGAGAGCTGTACATTGGCTAGATTATAATCTCACAGTGGTGGCTGGAACAGATAAAAGTGACGGTGCCCTGGCTAAAGACCAGATGGGAGGTTGTTGCCAATAGCTTGGGTGAAAGGTCACAAAGCCCTGGCCCCAGGCGATGGCAGTGGGGAAGGAAAGAAGGAAATGGACTCTGGGTTGACTACAAAAGTAGAACTCACAGAGATGACTCAGAAGCCCTGAGTCTGTGAAACGAGCAATGAAATGGGAAGTTGCACAGTGAGTCAGAGACAGGCCTATTCAGCACTGATGGCCTCCTCACTTTGTGATCTCAGGGAACTGGCCTCACCTAGCTGGATTTCAGTTCTCTTATCGACAAGTGAGAGTACTTTAGAACCTAATTTAGCAGAATGAGTAAGGAAACCCCCCTCCCCTCTGAAACAGTATTAATTTTGACACAGAGAACCCCCAATTTGATTATTTAACATAGAGTTGATCCCTATCCTCTCCTCTTTTTCCCTCTCCTCCTTCTTGCTCTCTGCCTTTTACTGTTTCTTAGAATTGCCTCTGGAGGCTACACAGGAAACTAGAAAGAATCCCCATAGGAATATGAGTGAAGTTGATGGGTAATTATTTCCTTTTCCTCCTCATCTGCTTTTCTCCATTCCTCCATCCTCTCTACTCTCAGAGACCAGCAATCTATACGGTGGGCATGTGAGCTGAGAATGGGACATGGCAGTAGCACTCTATTCTAGAGAGGAACCAAAAATTTTTAGTCCACTCCCAAATCATTCAGAGTCTAAGAGACAGGTAGAATTCCGGAACTGAATCAGAATTAAAGTCTGGTTCAAGTCATTGGGATTTGGAGTGGACTTGGGCCTCCACAGAGACAGGAAAACCAGCCTAATCTCCTGAAGGTATCCTGGACTCTATAGGAGTTGGTGCATGATTTCCTCCCCTTTTCCTACCCCATCCCTCCCCACACTAGGGCAAGGGGTTGAAGCCAAATGGGAGCAATTAGTTGAAAGCCCCAACTGCCCCTCATGCCTGAGTCTCACTAGACTGGGACAGGAGTATGTTTAGACATTTAGAAGCTGAAGCAAAACCACCACTGCTCTCACCTCCTCCAGCAATTTCCCAATCCCCAGGTAAGTCAGAGGACAAAAGTTGGGTCTCTAAGAACTGAGTAATTCATCAAACAAAACAGAGAACTTATGGTCAGATAGAGCTAAAGGGAATAAAACATAGATAGAGTTTGAAGTAAAGCAGCGAGGCAGAGAGGCCCTGGTGGAAGAGAAAACAAGAATTGCCTTATAACTTTGGGCTGGAGTGCAGAACATAGTGCTGGCTCTCATCATTGATGTTTCTATCTCTCCCTCTCCCTTCTTCTCTGAAATCAATAAAAATATTTTTTAAAAATAATACTAAAGAAAAGCACTTAAACTAATAATATACTATAGTATAGCAGAGTCTATCCTTATAAGAGGAATTCATTCTTTCAAAAAAAACATTAATTGAGTGTTTATCATGTTATTCCATTGTGCTGGGCTCTGGGGATTGAAAATACTTAACTCATGGCATCTAGAAAATACTTAACATTTTCCTCTGTCTACATTGTCAGTCTTTTCAGTTTAGCTGTCTATCTGCCAATAGACAGTTTGGATATGTGGTTTTTAAATTTTTAATGAAAAAAAATTTACAAAACCTAAAATTAAAGAGAAATGAACTACTTTGAAAAGGACTTAGCAGAAGCCAACACTATGGCATTTCTTTCATTAGATAGTTTGCAGACTTCTGGCTGAAAGCTTTTTTTATATTGATAATTACTCCTTTTCCAAATCTGTTGTTTATAAATTTTACTTCATCATGAATATCTCTGAGGAAATGTTTGAAAGCCAACATATTGTACTTCCCTCTGAATATTCCTTGGCATAATCCACATGCCAGAAATAAACAGTGACTACCAAAAAGGAGCAAATATTTTAGCTAAGGCTTTCCATTGGCCATGTCTGAACTCCTCACCTTGGCTCCAGGCCCTCCTTGACTCCATCCTCAGTATATACAATTCCCCCCTAACTCCCCTCCACCCCAGTGTCCTAATTGATTTCTCTGAATTCACTCTTGCCTTCTGCAATCTATTTCTCATATGTCACTCCCTATTTAAATCCAATTAATGGTCTTATTACCCCTAGGATAAAGATATTAATCTTCCCTGTGGTCCCTAAGGCCTGATCTGGCCCTTATCTCTCTGACCTAACTACCCAATAGAAATAAGATCTGAGTGATATATATGAGCTATATATATGATTTAAATTTCTAGTAGCCTCATTGAAAATCAGAAACAAATAGAATTATTGCATTAATATATTCTATTTAACCCCCAAACATATAAACTATTATCATTTCAACATATGATCAATATTTTTAAGAAATGAAATATCTGTAGAGATAGTTTTACTTCTTCCTTTCCAATCTAGACATGTTCTACTTAATTTTTCTTGCCTTATTACACTCACTAGAAACCCTAGAATGGACATCCTTGCTTTGTGCCTGATCTTTGGAGAAAAGCATTCATACTGTGAAGTATAGTGTTAGCTGTGTTTTTCATTGATGCCCCTTCTCAGTTTGGAGAAGTTCCCTTCCCTTCTAAGTCTACTGACAGTTTTTAAAAATCTGGAATGGATGTTGAATTTTGTCAAATACTTTTCAGCATCTATTGAAATGGTCATGTGGGTTTTCTTCTTTAGTCTGTTTAGTATGATGAATTAATGTTGATTTTGGAATGTTGAACCACTTTTATATTCTTGGAATAAATCCCACTTTGTCATGAATTCCATTCCACATCCAAGTTACTGATCCTGAGATCTTGTTTGAATTCTTGCTCACTCATCTGCCCTAAACATGTGTTGTCCACCTGGATTTTGGGTGCATACCTTCCCATTCTTTTGACTTATTGCTCATTTTTTGTTCTTTTAGTAATCTATAGTTTCACTGCCAGCTCCTCCTGTCAGCCATCTAGAACACCCAAAACTTGGGACATATCATCTGATAAAATGATACCCTAATTTGTAATTTGTTTCCCCCAAAATGATGAGGGTATAGTTTAAAGTGAATCACTATGCATTTCATTGAAAGACTTTATTGAA